AAATACATTCGGAGATTAGTCTCGCATTTCATGATTTAATCATTTGTTTTATTTAAAAAATTAATTTACGGTATTATAAAAACTCTCAGAAAACATAAAATTTGTTAAACAGTAATAATTTATCGACAATTTGTACGGCAATACCAATGACTAAACAACTTCACACTCCCTGTCCTATCAGTCCTGTTGCACATAAAACCCGATCCCGTGTGGAGTGGAAGTGTCGGCCGATTGTGCGCTCGTTTGAGGGGTTGTTGTGACCGAGTCTTTGGGCGGTGTCTTCAGCGCACTAATAGTTCTCGTAATCATAGCCATAGAGCGACTCCTTCCGCGTCCTCTGCGGCTACCCATCGACACAATACTCTCGTTATCAGTGCCGCCGCTCAGGGCTGTGCCCAGGAATGGATAGGCGGCCAAAGCGGCACTTTTGCCCGCCTGGGCGCCGGCCAACTCGGCCGCCGCTAACGCCGCCGATGTCAACGAACTCCTAGTATTGATGGAACCGCGCGATCGCGAGCCTCGCGGCCGACCCCGGCCTCGAAGGCCGCCCCGTCTATACCCAGAACTGGACGGACTGTGCAAATCAGACGCCGAAGAGGTAGGACTGCTTCTGTCGTCGACAATGAGGGCGCCGTCATTGCTCTCGTCCTCATTCATTAGGGTTAGGGATCGAAACGATTGCTATTTCATGAGAAATAAACATTAATTTCTATACTTGTCTATCACTGTATTACTGCTGCGCTTACTTCACTGAAAGGACTGGTAGGGAACGACTCGTTATCGTTAAAGGACTCGACATCAGCCGCAGTGGTCGGCGATATCTCTTTGGATAAGCTCTCGGATTCGTTGTCTGATAACAACCTTTTGGAACACTTTCTCTACAAAAAACCACAGAATATCAGAAAAAGTCAAACATCAAAACATCAAAACCCAAAACAAGACTTACTTTCGAGACGTCCGTCTCTTTGGGAGAGGACTTGAGTTTGCGTTTGACGGCCGCCCTAACGGGTGTCCCACCCGCTGTGGCGCCGCTCTCCTCAGCCAGCAGTCGCTTCTCCTCCTGTTTCTGATGGAAGCGTCGCTCCAACTCTTCGTCGTCCAGGAGTAGTGACACGACTTCTGTGGCCCTAAGAGTGTCGGGTCTGAGAGCGCCTCCACTGATAACCATCCGCTGTATCTCCGACTTCTCCTGAGCTCTCTCTAGAATCCTCTCCTCAATGGTTCCCTTACACACCAGCCGATAGACAGTCACCTGTTTTGTTTGGCCCAAACGGTGGGCCCTATCCATGGCCTGCTGGTCGACCGTCGGGTTCCAGTCGCTGTCGTAGAAGATGACGGTATCGGCGGCCGTCAAGTTGATGCCCAAACCGCCCGCCCGTGTGCTCAATAGGAACACAAAGATGTCGGACCTGTTCTGGAAGTCGGCGACCATATCGCGCCGGTCGGCGATCTTCGACGAGCCGTCCAGACGTATGTACCGGTGCTTCCGGTGCCACATATACTCCTCCAGCAGATCAATCATACGTGTCATCTGCGAGTAGATCAACACCCGGTGCCCACCGCTCTTCAATGCGTTCAGCAGTTCGTCCAACGCTTTCAGTTTCGCCGAATCCGTTACAATCGTCTCCTTATCGGGAATAGAGAGCGACGACCAGCCGTTCAGCTCCTGGAGGCCGAGCAGGCCTTTGAGCGGCGACGCGAAGAACTGCGTCTTTTGCGACCATAGGATATGATGCGACTGCGCGTCCAGAGCGTCCACATCGCCGTTAGTTATCAGTTGTTTGACGCCATGACTGCCGCCCAACCGGTGCTGCGAATAGGCCTCCATTGCCCGCCTATTCCGGCAGAACATAGGCATGGGTTCGGCGCTTACGTTCAGACCATTGGTTTTGTTTATCAAAATCGACAGAAACTGCGGTATAAGTGTTGGCTCGCAGTCGTACACCAGTGCCGGACGGGCCTTATGGACCACTTCACGGAAACAGGCGATTGTCGGCGACTTTTGTGCGTTAATATCACTGCTGTTGAGTCCTTTATCAGTGGTTATAATGGCATCGCTTTCGTTATACTTCCGGAGTCTCATCTGCCGGTGATCTGTGGACTCAGTCATACAGTGATGGGTATGTCTCGTGAAGCCATAAACATAACTAAAATGACTGCTTCGAGACCACGTGAACAGCAAATGACTCCATAATTGATCCGAATTCTGACAATTGTGTCGATTATTCATAAATAAAGTTGTCTTCAATGGTATGAGAAGTGATTCTCTGGTATTGTCTTCAGACCAGTCTTTGTAACAAATCTGCGATTTCTGATTCATTTCATACAAAATATATTTCCAAACGACTAATAAATTGGCGAAAAATAATTCATTCAATTGATTGGCAGACAAACCAATTAACGGCGCGAATGAGAAGCACGTGAACGGGTCGTCGGTATTGGCTGTCGACGAGTCGTGTATGTAATCACAGCTGAAAATGTTTAGCATTTTGTAAATGAGTTGATATTTGTGTGAATCAAACGCGAAGAAGTCGTGACAGAGACCCGACTCGAAGATCAGACGCGGAAGTATATACGTGTTGAGCCGCATATGGTATGGCGAGCGGACGTCCCGGCGCTCGAATAGGTTGGGATGATTGCAGACTTTGCGGAACTGCATCACGAGATTCATAAGACTAGATGTGGCGGACTGTGAGGTCACGGAAGTGGCCATCAGGTCGTCGATCGATATCTTACGTCCCGGCGCTCGAATAGGTTGGGATGATTGCAGACTTTGCGGAACTGCATCACGAGATTCATAAGACTAGATGTGGCGGACTGTGAGGTCACGGAAGTGGCCATCAGGTCGTCGATCGATATCTTATTCTTGAGCGCCTTATAGAGCTGTTGCTGACGAGTGGTTAGTCCGCAGTACAGTTTGATCTCAATCTTGTCGGACAACTCGTTCTCCACGTCCTTCTTAATCCTCCGCAACATAAATGGCTTCAAAATCATGTGAAGTCTGGACAAATGCTTCTCATCGATGGCCGTCTTGTTCTCGGCGTGACTTTCGATGTCTTTGGAGAACCACTCGTTGAACTCGTCGTGCGAGTCAAACATCGACGGCATTATGAAGTGCAGGAGCGCCCAGAGCTCGGCCATCGTGTTCTGGATAGGCGTTCCCGTCAACAACAGACGGTTCCTGCACTGGAACGACAGCAGTGTCTTCCAGCGAGCGCTGGCACTACTCTTGATGGCCTGCGCCTCGTCTAACACCATATACAGCCATTTGATGCGCTGGAAGTACTTCACGTCCTGCACTATCAACTGATAGCTGGTGACCAACACGTGAAAGGCCGACTCCTCCCGGTGCAGGCACTTCTGGTTCCACACTTTGCGCAACACTTTGCGGTCGTTAGGGTTACCCCAATAGGGAAGGACTTTGAAGTGCGGCACAAAGCGGGTCACCTCCTGTTGCCAGTTGTGTAGCGTAGACGAGGGCGCGATTACGAGGAACGGCCCCCAGATGTTGAGCCGCTCGGCCAGTGTGGCCATGAATGCGATCGTCTGCACTGTCTTTCCCAAACCCATCTCATCGGCGAGAATACCATTGATTCCCTTGTCGTACAGATTGTACAACCAGTTCATGCCTTTCAGTTGATAGACTTTGAGGACACCCTCGAAAAGCTTCGGTTGCTGTAGCTCTTCGTCACTCGATATGGACGTCTCCGACAAATCCATACTTCTTGTGATCATCTCGTGGTTCGTCTTGAGCTCCGCGTCGAACGCATTCCTCTCCTTCTGGTACGTCTGGAGCGCAGTCTCCGCGTTGCGCATCGCCTCCCGCTTCTGGAGGTCGGCGTCGAAGTCGTCTTCAACACCACTCGACAACAACACCACCGGCTGCTCCTCCTCCAGACGTTCAAGTATACTGTCCCGTTGGCTGAGCTCTTCGGGCGCCGACAGCGTCGACAGTTTGCGGCTCATGAAGTGGGCGTACAGTTCGGTCTGTGTTATCAGGAAATTCAGTTTCCTTTGCTGGCGCTTAGCCTCCAGGAGCTCCATGTCGACCCTCATCTGCTCGTGAGCCTCCCGTTCCGCGCGTTTCCGGTAATCCTTTTCCACTTTGTCGAAGCGCTTCCAGTAGAGCACCATCTCTTTGGTCAGTCGTCGCGCTCTGGCGTATTGGTCGCGACAGAACTGCTTCTGATGGGCGACAGTCTGCCGTCGGCGCTCCCGTTGACACCAATTCGCCATTTTCTTGGCATTCATGAGCGCCTCCTTTCTGGTCGTCTGCTTCTGTTTGTGAGCCCTCGGGATCTCTTTCCTCGCGATCGCAATCCACAGCCGTTTGCGTCGCGATGTCATCGCCTCCTCGTGAGTGGCGGCGCTCGACGACGACGTCTGCTTTCGTTTCGTCGCGCGTTTCGTTGCTGTTGTCGTCGACGACTTGAGCGCCGGTATGACCGGCGACGAGGACGGGCTGTGCGCGGGAGTGGTGGGCGCTGTGGCGCACTTCGGCGGCACAATCGCGAAGCTCTGCACCGAATGGGTGGGCGTTGGCTGCGACAGCGTCTGCGACACCACTGAACCCGAACCGCACGACTCCTCGGTGTCGAAGATGTCGTCCGGCAGTACAGGCGTCACGTCGGCTGACTTGCCATAAGTGGAGGCGCCGGACGGCTCCACGTATGGCGATATANTTTTTCGTGGTAATAACCATACGGATGTTTGTTTGGTGTATATTTGCCGACATTATGAATGAAAAGGTATTTGTTATGCCATTTAATATGATTGTTATTATCAAGCAACATTAAATTTGAATTAAAATTAATTTGAAATACAAATTCTGGTCACAGAATACGGAAACGTTTCAATTAATATCGACAATAAATGCCCGGAATTTCGATGACAGAGTGAAAGTATGTTTGGAATTAATTATTTAACAAATTCTTGTCATTTATTCTGTGTTTTCACATTCAGATCAACGCTATATTAATACTACAGCGAAATCAGCGCACATTCAACGCCTCAAACTTTTTCAACATTAATAAATCGCTATTCCTATCAGTAAACAATTGACCTGTATCATTTTATATCATTAAATTATAATTTACTCATTAACAGGTAATCGGTGTGTCGACAACATATTCACTCATTTTAATACAGAATATTCATCGCAACTAAATTATATTTAATTTCATAATTATTCATAATTATAATTTCATAATTTTATAACTTAACACCAAGTTTGTTAGGCAATTAAAAGTTCAAACTAAATTAACATGTCAAAAGTTTGTAAAAATTTCAAATCAAAATTTAAAGTAAACACTTGTTAAACTGTATTATAAAATAGATTAAAATTTGTATCATTCAATGCATTTAGTTATTTCTTTGATAAGAATAATAATTAGTTGAAAAAACATTTTAAAAACAATAACCACTTCATTATCTCAACGTTCCGGGAATTGTGGGAATATGTATGGGAATTTTCATAACAACAGCCAACACACGCCACCCATTAGGCAACACATGAGAGCCTAATGTCAGCCAAAAATGACTTCACATTTGGTTTGCGTTCAAAACATTCACAACATTTGCAACGCTTTCACACCAATAGACTGTTAACGCAAACCATTGCCACTTACTATCACTTCATTGTCACCACCAATAGGTCCCACGCATGGGATGCCACCAATTATGACCACTATTTACCACTCAGTGACCGCTCGCAGGTAGACATCATTCCCTCACCTATTGTCTCAGCAATTGTTTTCATTTACTGTTTATGTCTTGAATCTGATCCACACATTAGCTGTCATTTGACGCCAACCTAACCATTATATTGTCTTACAGTGTATGCAGTCATCTGTGAGTGAATCGCCGCCACTATTATCGTCTCGAGATTCAAAGCCGCCATAAGTTGGCCACAGATTGGTCTCCGGCAGACATGACTGACATAAACAGCGGTTCCAATGACCACAAGAGTGTCCACTCGTTTGGCAATCGTTTGGCGAAACCCCTGTATTTGCAACGCTTGGAGAACGCGCTCCGATTGGATGGACTCATAGCACAAGTCGAGCGGACGCTCAATGATAAGAGGTTTGTGTCACTCATTAGCCACTACTTCCTCCGCATATCATCTCAATGTATGTCTCAATGAAACCGATAGTCTGGACGAAGAGCTGACGACAAACGTGTCGAAACAGCAGTCGAAGGCCGTGAAGACCCGGGTCTACAACTTAAGCAAAGTTAAGAAAAACAAGAAGTGGTTGAAAAACATTTTGTTAGACAAAAGCGATTCCTCCGGAACTGATGACGACCTCTCGGGCGATGAGCACAAGTCCGACGACTGCCTGCGAGAGATGCTTCGCTTCCATCGGCTCCAGAAGAAGGCGCGCAAAGAGTTCGAAGCGGATCCACAGCTCAGGCAATACCAGAACTACAGCACGAGTTTGATATCGACTCCCAGTCCACAGCACCAGTCGATTATCGCCGCCAATAAGACGGCAAACAAGAAGCCCACGAAAGCCGCCATTAAAGCCAAGAAAGCGAAACCGATTCAGACGTCGACCGCAGCGGACGAGCCGGCGATGGACAGCGGGCTGAGCGAAGTGATCGCCGCCGTCAGCACCGGCATCGACACCATCGCCGCGACCTCTGCCACGCCGCCCACCGCGGAGGCCGTCCTGTTGACGGCCATCGAGAAGCCTGTGATTAAAACGGAGAAAATACTGGACGACATCCCATACGACACACAACTGCCCAAAGAGATCCTGCAGACAGAGGAGAGCCCCGCTATATCGCCATACGTGGAGCCGTCCGGCGCCTCCACTTATGGCAAGTCAGCCGACGTGACGCCTGTACTGCCGGACGACATCTTCGACACCGAGGAGTCGTGCGGTTCGGGTTCAGTGGTGTCGCAG